GTAACAAGACTGGTCTTAAAGACTATCACCCTTGGAACTCAACATTGATCTTGGGGAATGTCATGACTCTTTTGCTGCCAGTGTTCTATCATTGACTACAGTGCCTTGATAAGATAGAAATTGCTCACAGTGAACACCCAGGGTAGCAAGCAATAGAGCTCTAACATACACATCATTAGCACAGGGACATTGTTCCCTTGATACATGGGACATATTTTTTCTTTTCTTTTTTTCTTCTTGTTTTCCAGAAGGTATGACAGTGACATGCAACAGGTTAAATCATGTCATCACCAATGCCTTATGGGTTTTCTCACTAATGAGGTGAATTAGTTGCTTGTGCAGCAGTCAAGGTCTCTCAGGTGTATAATGGTCAGTCATGAATAATCAATTAATCGAAATGACACCAAAAACATTTAATCAATACCTCAAATTTGTATTCACTAGGAATGGCAACATTCAAGAATTAGGTGTATTAAAGGGTTTATTGAGTGTATCAAATTGCAGTAATCTGTCTTAACCCGCCTGGCTGAGGGCTAATCTCCTGGCCAAAAGACGCAGAGAGGAGTGGCCAAGGGGCAGCTGTAGAGATGGAGATGGGATAGGGGTAGGTTGCAAAAGACGAATGTGAGCAGAGAAGGGGATTATGTGTAGTATTTATAATGTTATGTGAGGAAATGACGTCAGGATTGATTACAAATTACAGACAGCTGAGGCTGAATGAACTTGGCTGTTTATCGCCCCTCCTGAACTTTCGCTATAAACTCAATTTGTACTGTATTTTCTTAAAAACATACTTGCATAGCAATATGTTCCTTTGATGCTCAGTAAATTTACTGGTTGAAGTCATATTTTTAACAACATCTGTACAGTTGCCTTATAGGGCTATTAAGCAACTCTTAGCTCTTTTGGCATTTTGAATCACACTTTTAATCATTAAGAAATGGAAAAAAATGTTTGACATCTGCAGAGGGTGCATTCAAGTCGCAGGTTCCTTCAGTGATTTCACTTTCATACTCTTTCTTTCAATACATGGTATTTAAGAAGCATACGATATGAGCCATATACCTTCAACAATACTAATATTGTATGAGCAGCTACAATACATCTCTGGGCATCAGACATTTTTGTATTTCATTCATCAATAAATATTGAGCTGAAGAACCAACAGATAAAGCAAACATTGGAGAACAATTAAATATTCACAAGACAATCGATTACTTGTTGTTAATCTAAAGGTTTTATTATACAGTGCACAGTTGCCTAAACGAAAAAGAAGCACTTTCCATTGTAATGTGCCAGTCTGAAAAAAAAAAATCTTTTAGGTTTAAAACAAGCTTATGGCTTACAGTATGTCATGGAGCTCTATTTTTAGTTCTGGTCAGTCATGCATGCATTATAATTCTGCACTTCCCAAACAGCATTCTGTCTGCATGGCTATGCATGGCTTTACAGTATACAGTAAATGTCAGATGAATTTGTGTATAATGTATGATGATGGCACTAACAGTCCCTGCTTCCTTACGTTTTAACTATAAAGTGCGTTGCAGTAGGGAACACACTGCTCATCTTGTACAAGGAGATAGATCAGCTGGTGGACTCTTACTGTATGTGAATAGACGGAAGAGGAGGAGGGACTTTGTTAAAGGATGGACATGAACTCAGAAAGTGGACATTTTAAAAAGGATTATCAGCTTTAAAGGTGTTATAGCAAGGGTTCAACTAACTGAACTGTTTGATTTCTATTAAGGAGTCTGTTTTGGTATTTTATATTTGCTTGGGGTGTCATTGCAAACTGTTTTAAAATATTTATTTACTTGAATTTCAGTACATTCCTATGGAAGATCAGTTGTATTCAAACTAACCAGTAAGAATATATACATACAGTATATATATATAAAAATCGTTGTTATATAAATACAGAAGTTGAAAGAATGGAGGTTTGACTGGTTTATCATACACTTCTGCTGCTGAACCCTGCCAGGGAGTGTTTTGGGAATTAAATTGCTTGACTGGAGGAAGCGAAGAACAACTCCAATATGGCTTGGATTCCATGTATTTAGATCTGTCCTGCTTTTGAAAGATCACAAGAGGGAAGTCTAAAAGGTATCCAGGGTGCACAGCAACAGAGCACCAACAAAGTGGTATTTTATGCACCATCGAGTAATGTATCTACACATTGATAGATGTAGTTTTCTTCTCATGAGATGAAATAGATTTGACCAATGAAATAGACCCCATATCTCATGAAAGAAAACTGTGCTAGGTTAGAAACAGGCTTAACCTAAGCAACAAAGAGATTCTGCTAAATGGTAGTATACTGTATCTTGGCTACCCAGTCTGTAAATGGTTAAATGTGTTGTTTCTATATTAAAATGTCTTTCCGAGATTCCAATATTTTTCTTCAACCTGCAATATATTCTTTAAATTGATTGTTATTAAAATTCAAATGCTTAGTTTCCATGTCCTGCAGTTGGACAATATAAATCACTGTGATTCAGTCTGTTCTCGAGATGTTTGCCACCAACGTTTCAACACTGTTTTCTTAAAACTGTTTTTTTTTAATGATTCAGTAAACGTACAAGGTTAACTTCATAGGCCGAAGATTGCGGGTTAAAAGGGGAATTTTGACATTTACTTGTTAGAAAGCAGTAAAACAGCCTAGATGCAGCTGTGCCAGTTTGAAATGTATGTTTCCTGAGAGGCTGATATACGTAGGGGGCAGGGGAGGCTGGGGATAACTTTCATCTCCATTGATTCTGCTCAGTCTGGGTTAATGATTAATACAAAGGTGGTAACTGGGACCATAAACTGGCTGCTCTGACTTTGTGTTAATGTCTCCAGTCATTTATAGATGGTAATAGGCCTGGTCTGGCTTTGATTTAATTAGGGTGACATGGGTCAGATGGATAGGGTCTCATTTCCAACTGTAATCTCTGTCCATGATGTGAAGCATCCAGCCATGCCAAGCTTTCCCGATAAAGTTAAATTGGCTGCCATTATTTCACAGGCTGATGACTGTTTTTGCTGTGCAACAAGGTGCTGATTCTTATCTCAGCAATGAATCATACTGGGTGAAATCTCAAGCCTATTGCAAATTCCCTGTTTATTAAAGCAGTACTGTATGTATGAGCTTTATTGAGTGCAAGTACAGCAAGATACTGTTTACGTGTATAATAAGAGGTAATAACACTCTGCCTGTAATACACTTTTTACAAGACAAATTTACACTGAATGTTGTTTTAATCTAGTAACTAATGAATAAATATCAAGAAAACTTGAAAGGGTCCATTTCCCATAGAAACAGCATCCAGATAATTAAGTATAAATCTCTGCGACTGTCTGTTAAATTGACTCTAGGTCACATTTTAGTTTTCAACGGACAGACATCTTTGGCAAGCTCTAGTTGCCTGTGAAGACCTCTTGTTAATGTGATCAGCATTAAGATGCAATCCTCCTATTGAGGTTTTGTCTCAAGAAAAAGGAAAGCAGTACAAACAGCACAGTCCTCAGAGATGAAATGAGCTGTGCCCAGCAAGCAGATTCGCCAGCACACCGTTCAGCGCAAGGATGTATTTTGACAAGACATTTAATGACATTTAGACAGTTTGGTCCCATGTGCTGCACGCAGCAAAAGTGGCAAAAAATCTGATCTATAGAATTTCTCTCTAAGAATTTCACGTGTCACTTGACACCTATTATAACTTAATTAGATCTCTTAGCGGAAATGATTAGAAATTCTGCATTACAAGCATGGCTCCACTCTGAAATAAAAAAATATATATGCATGAGGATACTGTTACAATTACACTGTGAGGATACATTTTAAAGTATGCGGGGAACACTACAAAATAAAAGAGAAGTGAACATCACAAATGGTGATCAGTGATTGTCACTTCTTTTTTATTTTCTAGTGTTCCCCGCATATATTAAAATGTATCCTCGCAGTGTTATGGTGATCATAGTGATAATTGTTTTCTTTATTTGCTGTGTATTCATACAGCTTTGCTTTAGGTTTATTCATTCAAAGCTAAATTTGTTAAATTCCTTTGTAACCTTTGGACACATTTAAAAAAATAAGGTGAAAACCTACTGTGGTAAATACCTCTCTAGAGTACTATGAATTTCTCAGCAATAGACCAAGAAACAGCCACCTCCTCTAATGTGCATTTTAATTCATGGATGCATTCTTACAGTTCATGATAGTCATTTCTCTTTTATATTCACAAAAACTGAAAACATTAAGTTTTAACAACTAAAATTCTCTATAAATTTTCAACTCCTTGAATGTTATACACGTTCATGTTAAATTTGTTAGGATTTGCGATGTCACAGATGAACAGCACAGTTTTAGAGAGTGATAGAAGCCCTGTCACATGCACACTGATCTTTTTGATTTTTTCAATTATTATTTACTGCTTCTTAATTATGCTGCTAAATTAAACTCCTTGGTTCCAACAGCAGTAAAAAAAAAGGCAGAGATGTTTCTCTTGTTTGTTTAATTCTTCTTGGGCTTGTCTGAGATGAAAATGCCAGGCCTCTTTATTATATTGTAATTATTGCTTAGAGACTTAGAAAAGAGAAATGTAATCTCATTATCGCCATGTTCCACTTCAAGCCTAATAGTCCCTAGTGTGCTTAGTGAAATCCATAATGAATTTGACGTCCTTCCTTTTTTAATCTGTCGGTGCAATACATAGTTCTCATTTAGATTCCATGGACTTTCTACTTGTCAGTAAAAAAATAAAGTAGTGGGAAAGGTATAAAGGGCACAGTGACCTTTTTTTCTTTTTGGCTGGCCACAGATAAATAGCTCTTTCTGCTCTGAGGGATGTTTCTTGAGTGTTTATGAGAACTGTCCCTGCCAGAAACCTTGCCCATGTCTTTAGCATTGCGCTAAATCCATAGATCGAGCTCCAGGTACAGTAGCTAAAGGGTTAAGCAGTTGGTGTGGTGCACTAAGCTTTTTTTTTCTCTTCCCACTGTGTGCTGAATTTTCCCAGGCGAACACCTGCGAATCTGCCCCCAGGGCTACACCTGTTGCACCAGTGAGATGGAGGAGAGTTTGTCCACCCTGAGCCGCCGCGAATTCGAGGGACTAGTGAAGGAGGCCGGCCACTCACTGCAGCTCTCCCTCACCACTCAGTACAAGAGCTTTGATGGTAAGTTTCGCCTGCCAATGTGTCAGTGATCAACCTTCCCCATGAGCACCAGCCACTTCCTTTTATCCTCCTCATCCTTCTGGCTCCCATAGTTGTGCAAAATCTTTCTTAACCCCTCCCCCCAACTCAACCACCAACATTGTCCTCCCTCTGCACCAGCGTGTAGTATACAGTCTATCATTGAAAATGCCGTGTTGCCAGTATAGGATGAATCTGGCTCGTTCAACACATGTAGTCAGGATACTCTTGGTGAAAAAGGATCTAGCCATCCTGAGAAGATGCGAAAGCACCTCAGTGCCAGGAAAAACTCAACAGTGGAAAAGAGGAAGCTCATAATTCAATTCCACACCCAAGGTCAGTGAGTTATCTTCCATTGCTAATGTTATTTATATGTTTTATTTTATTGCTTTTGCATTTACTGAGTTTTTTAAAGGGAAAACTGGTACAGTTACAGAATTACTTAATGCTGTCTTTCAAGACAACTTTCTTTGTAGTCTATATAAATACCTACAGTACATTTAGGTGAAATTAATAATTTCAAAGCTGTTTCCTTTAATTTTGTAAAAAAAGAAAAGAAAAAGGCCTGAGATTGTGTATAGTTCTCATGCTCAGACTGTCAACTTGTTATATATTTTCAGTGGGAGTCCTATTGTGTAAATGTCTGCTGAGGAGTTGTGTGCCAATTGTGACAATAGTGAAGACTGTTATTGCGTAATATTTTAATGCAGAGAGGCAAGCTTGGAAAAAGAAGAGATTGTGTAAAGAACTGACGTGGAAGCACATACTTATTAATTCTTAGTAAATTTTTTTAAACAATAATAAGACTGTTTTCCTAGCGAAAGTGTGTTTTGTTTTCCTCAGGTGACACCATTCAGGACATTTGTGTTTAGATGCTAAGAGAGTTCCAGATAAAATTTTTTGCTTTTTGCTTTTGAAATTACAGTATTTAATAGCCTTAATGCATACGGACAGTGCAAAGCTTGAACAGAATACTATAAAGATAAAACTCAGTGATCCAGAAAGTAGGCCCTGATAAAGCACATTAAGGTAGGTGAAGCTTCAGCACAGAGCACTGAACATTGATAAAACAGTAGAGTAAATATGGAGTTAAAAAGCATATTTATCATGCTACGCTTTTGCAAGAGAGAGAGATTTTTTGGAACAGCCTGGCATTTCCCTCCGCCACTCTGCCTACAGCTCACTTGTGGGTGTGCTCTTTCGAGAAGTATTGTAATCAAGGACAGCCTGTGTGAATGGTACATCATGGCCCTTTGGCAACACACTAACCCAGGTATAGAAAGGGAGTCCATTTTCCTTTTACTGACAGGAGGCTCCCCACCACACAGGCTGTCGTTAGCCTTCTCATTTAAACCAATTCTTAACTGACAGCTCCCTTTGTGTGTCTTTCTTTCACTATATGTAATAGAATGATGAGAATAATTTTGCAACAATACTATAGACCAGTCTTCTTATGTCAGCTCTGTCAGACCATGTAAGCACCATGTTTTGACACTGAATACTTAAACAGACCTACATATTTTGAGATTGTATGGCCCGAAATTCCTGGTATTGATGATTTTTGTTAACTTTGTGTGTGTTTTTTACCCTGTTGTACATTTCCCTTAAAGAGCAAGAATGAAAAAGGCCCTTGTCATTTGGCAAACATCCTCACTGTTCTGTATAATTACCCAAAGAGCATATAGCATGATAGTACTGGGCAGTTCATTCTTAAATATAGAATTGAAGACTTCAAATTAATGGAAACTGGGTGGAAAAAGTCAAGCGTAAGTCTTAAAGTCTTAGAAATGGTTTATAGCCTCTGATCTTGTATTCTCTGCATTTTACATCTAAATCAATTCACAACTAAACCAAAGTATTAATGTAAAAATGGTAGAGGTACTGTAGTTGCTTATGTAGTCAATGAGTGGTTTACAAATAACATTTTTCTGTTCTATCTAGCTGTTCTAGATAGTCAAACTTTAATAAGGTTTAAGACTTTATTCAACATACAATACTCTGCAACCTACAGTAGTTCTTTTTGGTATCTTGTTTACTGTGTCTCTTTAAATAAAGTAATGCTTTGTTATTATATGGGCAGATGCACATCATACTTTCAAACACTAGTGTTTCCACTTAATGTTCATTGTTGGGTAATTGAACAAACTTGCTCACTCATTTGTACAAGGGGACAAAATGATCTCTACTGGAAGTTCTTGTGAAGACCTTGAGAAAACTAGCAGTGAAATAATCCAAAGGATGAACTGGGAACTGTATAGAAAGTATCCAAAAACTGAAATTACAGCTTTTGAAATGTGTGGTTGCATACTTTTCTAATGAATATTTTCCATGTGGTGTGGTTGAAAAAAATATTTGGGCATTTCTTAATTGTTACTCTGTAGCTCTGTGGTGCACACTGCTTTCTGCACTTTTCAGGTTTGGCACTGGTTTGGTGCCTGGTGCCCTTAGACCTTGAAGATTTCCATTAACCAGTAGGCTGGAAATTCTTATGTGGCAATGATGAACATTCATGAAATCTTCAGTCTGGTACGGTCACTTACGATTCAGATTGATAAATGTACATTCGTCAAAATTGTTTAAAACTTTGGCATACAAGGTGGCATGTTTTTACAATGAGATGTAATTTCTGATGAAAAGTTATTGATTTGTGTTCTTAGCGGGCTCTGGTAAAACAGGAACATGTTGGTTTGTGGAAGGCTTCTACTAGTACTTTGCAATGTGAAAGGGATTTGAGTTAGTTTGATAACTGTATATTTTTGTTGAATCCAGCTATACAGTAAATGTTGCCGGCAGCTAGGACATGTCATCCACTATCAGGCTGTAGCCCAGCTATGATGAGCTCTGGCTCTCTTGGTTCAAAGTACTTTCTGGTCTTATATTGTAGCTCCACTCAGCTCTCAGGTTCTCTGTTATTTGATTTGATAGGTTTGTACTGTATATTTGAAGAAAAAGGTTTACATTCTTGCATGATTTATTTTATTGACTTCTTATTTTCTTTAATTTCTTGCTGCATATTGTATGTTGAAATGTGCACCCACAGAAAACCTATAATGATCCAAAATATAACCTAATCAATTAACCACATGGTCATGTAATTGAAACTTTAAGCCAGGAAAACCTACAACAATTCCTTTTGTCATCTTCCATAATAATTTAAGATAAGCTAGTGCCAGGCCTGTTACTGTACTGTGCGACTGGCCTCTGAACCAAGAACTTTCAAAGTCAGTCATAAATTATATTTTTTCTTGTTTATTATGGTCTTGCAGAGACATTAATATGGAGGACCAGGGTAGAGACTTTGAGGCTCTCTGATTGTAGCAATTAGCAGCAGCCATAATTAGACCGTAAGTGTGTATATCAAGATTTAATTGAGGCCTACAGTCATTAAAAGGGTGTTAATGTGTTTGGGAAGCTGCAGTGTGTAATATAATTATACAAGACCCCTTTCTTCGTAAGTTATAATCATAAACTTAATTTTATATAGCGCCTTTAAAGGTGGCTTCTTAAAGCACTTTACAGGATGACAACAATAATAAATAAGAAGAATACACAAGATAAAACACAATTACAATATATAGAGGAGACCGTGGATGGTGGTACTAAGAAAAGCAGAGGGGTAAAGAATGGAACCAGTTAAGTAAAGGCTTTCCTGAAGAAGAGGGTTTTGAGTCTGGATTTGAAGGAGTTTAGAGACGGTGACTTTCTGATATCCTTAGGGAGAGAGTTCCAGAGCTTGGGGGCAGAACAGGAGAAGGCCCTGTCACCTATAGAATGTAGACGGGCTTGGGGGACAGTAAGGAGGGCAGAATTAGAAGAGTGAAGGTTGCAAGGTGGGGAGTAGGGCGATAATAGTTCAGACAGGTACTAAGGTGCCAAGCCATGCAGAGCCTTATAGGTGAGCATGAGGATTTTAAAGTCTACACAGAATTTGACCGGAAGCCAGTGCAAGGACTCCAGGATAGGAGAAACAAGAAAAGGAGGACAGAACAGAATTTGCAAACCTTCGGTGATCAATTGATCGCCAGTTGCAGAAATTTACAGAGCGTGGGGGGGAAGTGTTGGTCTTCGGAAGTCATTTTCCTTGTCTTATGTATTTTGCCCTTCAAGCTTTGAATAGTTTTATATTTTTTCACCTTACCTGCTGCTGTCACATCTTCCTGTGGTGGCTAAATGCTTTTCCATGCTCTGTTATCTTTGACTATCTGTTTGGATCCTTGACTCCCCATTAATTTTCAGCTCTGTTCTCAGCAGGAACTGTGGTGACACATGAGTATTTGCACCCTTACTTCTTAAATGCAGGCACTTGTCCTAGACTTTGTAACAAGTGCCAGATTCTTGCTCATTTTGCTGTCAGCTGATCTAAACTCTGTAAATACTGTAATATGTAATGAATCAATCTTTGTATCTTTTAATACATAAGACAAGCAAGAAAATATAATGTCCAGGAATATGTCACACTTATACAATACATGGTTAATCATTGTGATCTATTGTGTGCTCAAATTCAAGACTTCCTTGTGATACAGAAAACATTGAACATTACAGAAAGAAACAGCAAGTCATTCATAATTTTTAATGCTGAGCCAATAGACGGAGTTCTATAACAAAAGGCTCACCATAGTATTGGTATACATAATTATACTGGATTTAGTCTGATTGTTCAATTTATGATGGTTAGTGACAAGACAATTCAAGGCATTCCAGTGGAATGCTATATACTGTGCATAGAACAGTAGGATGACTTTCATTATGAGACAAAGCATGATTCATTGTCTTTGCTGTGAAATGTCATCTTTGAGTGAGCAGAGGCAGGAAATGTGACGGCAATGGGATGCTGGCTAGAGAGGGGTGGGACTGCTGCCCATTTCGGGACACTAATGAGGCTGTAATCTGCCACAAGCCCCCATGGCAGGGGAGCATGAAATCAGATTACCGGCTCCCTCAGGCAGGGCGCGCTGCCGGGGAAATGAGCGTTTGACCCT